TTGCGATCCGTTGCCGGACATGAAAAAAGACAAAAAGGAAAAAAAAAAAAAAAAATGACGGGGAAGGGGATCTTAACCCTTGACCTGGTGTTGTCAGCACCACGCTCAGCCAGTGAGCGGCCGGTCTGTATGTGGGATCCGAACCCTCGGCGGGAGCGCCACCACGCTCCCAAGCGGCGCACTGTAGCAGTGCGCCACCGGGCCGGCCCCCGGTCATCTTTTTTTAAAAAATAAATAAATAAATAAGTAACTGGCTCAGGTCTCGCAGCATGGACTTCAGGCCATGGTCTGACTTTTCACTGGTTTCAGCTGACTTCCCCACCCACCTTCTTTTCTCTGCTCGGCGGTGGCAGTGCCCCTTACGTTCCCCTGGCACGCGGTGTGCCCTCTGCCAGGCCAGCCTGCATAGTCGAACGAGAGGAGGGAGAGAAGAAGCCACCCAAGCCACCATATCTCTTAAGTACAGTTTTCTTTATTCAAATTAGACAGCACAAGCGCCATGAATAAAATTACAGTTCCCAAAGGATCACGCCCAATTTAAATGTATAAGAGGCCATTAACAGGCCAGGCTGGCTGTCAGAACTTGGCTAGTGCCATTCGTGGTGTGGCTCTGCTATTATGTGAGGAGCAATAGCGATAGTGGGAGTGTGAGGCACACCCACCCCTGGTCTCTAAGGCTCTGGGTCCTCAGACTGGCTGGGGGCTGGGACCAGGGTCACCCAAGAAGCCCTGACCAGCCCTTCCGAGGGTAAGCAGAGCTTCTCCTGTGTGAGATGGGTCCGGCGCCCTTTCCTGGCTCTGCTGTTCTTCAGCTGAGTGACCTTGACAAATGCTGCGGGTGGGGTTCCCAAGCCCCTGACATGGATGTTTATGGAGGAGGACCCTTGGGATCAACACCTGGGCAAGGAAGGAGGGGAGGCAGGAGTGGGCAGAGGGAAAAGTCCAGCTGCCACATGGACTCCGCAGCAGCCAGGGCCCACCCCGTGGGGACTCCTAAGTGTGGAATTTCACAGAGCAGAGACAGCTAGGCCTTTGGGCCCCTGCCCAGGCCAGTCGCTGAATGTGGGCTGCCCTAGGAAGACTGGGTGAATCTATGCGGCTGAGGCCGTCTGAAGGGCTGTGCTGACCCCTGCCCAGCCACTGGGCAGCCTGTGCTTCATGGAAGAGGATCTGGGCAGCCAGCCATCACTGAGGCTCTCTGAGACTGTGTCCTATCAGTTCCATAACAGTAACCCTGCCTCAGCAGCCCCAGAGGAAAAAGAGACCACATATGTAAATGGCTTAGCTCAGGGCCTGGGACACAGTAACCGCCCAATAAACGTCAACCACCCCATCCTGCCCCAAACCACAGGGTGATTCTCCCCACTCCTCTCCCTCAGCTTTGCACCCTCTGCACCACCCAGCAAGTGTCTGGCCTCCCTTGCACATCCCACTAATGGACAGGTCACTACTTCCCAAGTCACCGTTGAACAACTTTTTTTTTTTTTCCTTTTTGTCTTTTTTACTGACCAGTAACGGGATCGCAACCTTCGGTGTCGCACCCGTACTGGGGACCGGCAACAGGATTGCAACCCTCGGTGTTGCGCCCACACTGTGCTCAGCCAGTGAGCGGGAACTGGTCTCCACATGGGATCTGAACCCTCGGTGGGAGCACCACCGCACTCCCAAGCGGCGCACTCTCCAGTGCGCCACCGGGCCGGCCCTGAACAACTTTTTTTTTAATTGTGGTAAAATATACATAACATGAAATTTACTATTTTAAGCGTTTTTACGTGTACAGTTGGATGGCATTAAGTACATTCACACTGATGTGTAGCTATCACCAACATCCATTTTCAGAACTTTTTTCCCAAACCAATGCTCTGTACCCATTAAATAATAACGTCCCCCTTCCTCCTTCCCCTCAGCCCCTGACAACCACCGTTCCACTTCCTGTCTCTGTGAATTTGCCTATTCTGGGTACCTCAGATGAGTGGAATCAGACAGTATTGTCCTTTCTATCTGGCTTATTTCACTTAGCATCAAGTCTTCAGGATTCCTCCATGTTGTAGCATGTGACAGGATTTCCATCTTTTTTAAGGCTGAATAATATTCCATTGCATGGACATACCACAGCTTGTTTGTCCATTCACCTGCTGGCAGACACTTGGGTTGTCTTTTAGCTATTGTGAATAATGCTGCTGTGGACACTGGTGTACAAGCATCTGTTTGAGTCCCTGCTTTCAATTCTTCTGGTTACATACCCAGAAGTGAAATTGTGGGATCATATGGTAATTCTATGTTTAATTATTATTATTATTTCTTTTTCCTTTTTGTCTTTTTTTCGTGACCGGCAACAGATCGCAACCCTCAGTGTTGCGCCCGTACCGGACTGGGACCGGCTACGGGATCGCAACCCTTGGTGTTGCACCCGCACCTCGCTCAGCCAGTGAGCGGGAACC